GTTTTTTGTATGGAAAATACGGTTCGAACGAAAACAAGAATATGGGTGAATGGTATCGATACGTCACAGCTCTTTTTCCCAGCGTACCGGTCAAGGAAGCGATCAACCATTTGGAGGACTGGCTATTAACACAACGAGAGGATGTAGCATGAAGAAACAAGGTTCGGACGTACCTTAAGCTGACCCACCTTTGCAGTGTTGGAAAAGTTTACCAAAACTCACTATGACTCGCGAACTTTTCCCTTGGTGAACTTTGTGAAATATCGCGATTTTTTCCAACGCTGTGCCTTTGTATGGAAGAAAACTACTTCTCTTTCCAAGGTATCTTCTACAAGCAGACGAAAGGAGTCCCAATGGGAAACCCCCTATCCCTCTTCCTGTGTGAACTTTTCATGGCCAACTTGGAGACAATTCTTAAGGAGAAAGGACTATTACCAAACCGTTGGTGGAGGTTTGTTGACGATATCTTCAGCGTAGTTAAAATGGAAGCCCTTCCACAAATTTTAGATGAGATCAACAGAATTCACAAGGATATCAAATTCACTCACGTGGTAGAAAAAGACGGGAAACTCGCAATTCTCGATATTCTAGTAATCAGGGAATCGTCATCATCATGTTCGCTTGAATACGAAATTTACAGGAAACCAACAAGCACTAAAAGAGTTGTCCCCTATACTTCCAACCATTCGTTCCAGCAGAAAATGGCCGCCTTCCACCACATGATTCATCGGATGCAGACTCTTCCACTCAGCGATACAGGAAAGGTTAAGGAATTACAGTAAATCTTCGAAACAGCGAGACTCAACGGATACAAGGAGACCACAATCCAGGCAATCATTGATAAAAACACATTAACCACGGACACACATGGCTTTTCAAGTTACTACCTAGGACACATAAACGAGTAAGCAGCGGAGTACCGGCTCCTACAGGAAAATAAATTTAAGTTTACCTAGCTTTTAAGTGAAAATGTACCTGTGTTAGTATATATTCGGTAAAATGCGATGTTTTTCTTCAGTCGAGTATTAGTAAAAAACACTGAAAAAGTCTGCACATTGTAGACGAAATACGCGCATCTGTCAAGGATAAGCAAATAAGGTAGTGGAATTAAATGGAAATTACTTATCTTTCTCTCTATCTCTTTATGATCTGATGTTGTTTTCACATTTTTCATGATCAAGTCCATAATTGACGAAAATCCATATGGGACTGATATGCGATTATAGGCAGTATAGTTGCGTTACGTACAAGCGTTAGGTTCAATAGTTGTGTATGGAGTCTCCATACACAACTATAGGAACCTAACGCAACTATAGGAGCGTTTACCCTATGGGTTTCTAGGATAAATAAATCATTACTCAACGATGCCAATAACCTTTAAATATTTCTACCCCAACCATAAGAATATCATGAGGTCTATGAATTTATTTTAACTTTTTTAATTAAATGTCCATAGCAACATAATTCTTTAAACTCTCGAAGTCTCAGATGGTAAAAAAAAACTGATAGTAATATTGGGGAACGCATGTCAATATTGTTGTGAGTTTTCTGTCTGCTGGAAATCCTGAAACCTTTTCATTACCTAAATTCTTGAAAAGATGTGGTTTTTAATTATTATTTTTAAGTATCAAGTGAATTTTTTTTTTCTTTATCTGAGATTTCGTATTTTTTCCTTGATTTGTTATCCTTTGATCTTGTTTTCCGTGCAGAGCACCAATGCTACCGACGCCAGGGAGGTCTGCTGGGTTGAGAGGTAATCACGCTTACCACTACACCATCGGCGGCGCTTTAGTGACGTTATTTTTTCATCATTCAAAGTTAAGAAGTTTTTATAAAAATGGGTTCAGAACGATCGGTCTAAGCATGAGATCTCGATATAAATTTCCAGTACTACAATTTTTAAATTATCAAATTGTGTCATGATTTTTCTCTGTGTCTGGGATGATGAAAATTGTCTTATATTCAAAAACCCTAGTGTCCAAACTGATCAATCAATACAACGGTAATCGTTCCATAGGTTCTACGTCGCAGATGATCCACATTTGTCACCAGTACGATCATCTGGATCCCTTAGCTAAGCCGGTAAATGGGGCAACTATATAGCAAGACCATCGATTCCCGGTTCGGTCAAGGAAGATTTCGGGTTGACACATTTCTCGACTTCCCTGGGCATAGTGTATGACTGTACATACGTTGGTCCTCGGTCTATGAGTTGATGGGTTGGCTGGTAGGGTCCAGGTGAGGGAGCTACCTCCCTGGCATCGATAGCATTGGTACTCAGTACGGAAAACAAGATCGACGGAAAATAAATCAAGGGAAAAAAGGTGCTGAAACGTTGGGACGAATAACAAACGTGCTGTTCTAAATTGAACGAAGTTCTCAAAACTTGTGCAAAGTTCCCTTTACTTCTATAACGTTACAGAACGTTTGCTAAATTTGCTGAGCATCTACAAAGCATGCTGAACTTGTGCGAAACTCTCTAAATTTCTGCAAATCTGCTTGAAATTGCGTGTCTTCTAGAAAGTTCTCGGAATTTCTTGGACTTGTGAAAAGTTGCCGGAGATGGTGATATGCTCCCTAAGATTTTGCATAGTTTCCTTAACATGTACAAACCTTTGTAAATTTTTGAAATATTAGGAAGTACTGTGAACTTTTGTGAAATCTCCAACAAACCTGAGCTTTTATAGAATTCCTCCAGCATGTGAGAAATTCCAGGATTTCTGCTAAGTTTCCAAAACTTCCGAAGAGATTCCTGCTCTATCTTCACAATATTTGTACAGTGATAGATTCCCAGTTAGTAATTTGTTTAGCACTTTATTCATTCTGTTATCCTGTTTTATTATTTTTAATAATCCTAAGCAATGGTTATTATTTCAATAATTCGTTTAGAAAATTACAACTTCTCGCCGTGCAGTGATTTTTTTTCTTCAAAAACTTGAGTAAATTATGCAACTTTATCATATCACCGTTGAAGTAATCAAAGTTTTCAAAACTTTTTTATCAGTAAACTTACCATTTCCGTGAAGTACTAGAAGTACCGTAAATCGGGGTTATCAAAAACACAATGTATTCAAATGTGTTCGATTCATTTTTAACTTGATTCTTTTTTCGGTTTTATCCTTATGCAGGATGGGTATGTCTTTTTAATACCAACATATTGTTCTTTGATTTTTTTTAAACAAGTTGCATTAAATTTGTTTGCAATTTTATATCACACGTTTAAAAATAGAGGTGAAAAAACGCGTAAAAACAGAATTGAGTGAACTTCTATGACACAATCCACGCAATGCTACGCCAAGTGATCAATGTTTCAAATTAAATATAGTGACCCAACCATGAGAGAATGTGATAAAGTGGATATCGAAGTTCAAGAATAACACTTATTTAATTAAAAACGCATTGAAAAATATTCAGTCCATCATCATACATGCATCCTCAACATTTTGATTTTGAACACTTTTATTATGGACGCATTTTTTTTTATGTTTTTGTAACTATTGTTATACATGGAAAAGAAAGGTATTTAATTACTGTTTCATGCACTAGTAGCATTAATTGTAAAAATCAATTCTTTTCAATTTAAAGCAATTTCATAAACAGTCGCAGTATAATGGTGTCGCGTTACAAAAAAGTTATTCTTTTTATGATTGTGCAAATATTACAAGTCCATAACAAATATTTAAAAATGAACAAAGGTTCATCGATTATTTATGTAATGTCCTTCTTAGGAGTTAACTTCATAAAAACAAATAAAAATCTATTCTATATTCATGATCTTGGATTTTAGTCTTCTTATAATTTTTAGACAGTGTGACACGAAACAGGTTTTTCCCAGTTTTTCTACACATTGAAGTTGTTTCATAATCTTAATAGCTTTATCATCAATGGAAAAGGCTGAAAACACAGCAACTTTCAATTGCTTCAGCCTGATTTGACATCAATTCTGTACCTACGTCATTTTAGCAAAAAATAGGAAAAATTGAGATTCAGATATTCGCTGAGAGCGAAATAATTCATCTCGTTCGCTGATGGTGAATGGCAATTGTAAGAAGCATCTTAAAAAGGATATTAAGAGTTCTAAAACCTTGAAATAATACTGTAACGATGCGTTAAAAAAAAACTGGTAAATGCACTATCAGAAATCTCATAAGAGGAACTATATCTAACATTTGACCAGTCCCTTAAAGAATATGTTTTGGTTTGTTTTTCTGTATTAAGTTTGAATGACACACATAAACACACATTTTAAATATTAAAAATATTTTTTTTTATTTTTTTGGGGTAAGGGATGTTCTACCCATAATCGCATATCAGTCCCATATTTGCTTGATTTCCTATCCATATGGGACTGATATGCAATTATGGGCAGTGTAGGTACGTAGAAGTACATACTTAATGGCCATTTAATAATTACGTAAGCAGAGAAGATAACATAAATATCTTACGTAAGCATGTACAAGTCATAAACAGACAATTCACAACAAAGGGGGAGGGGCTTTTGTGAATTATTACTAAGTCTTACAAGGGAGTAGGAGGGTAGGACGACCTCTTACACACAGCAAAAAAATAAATTTTAATATTACATCCAAGAGATGCACAGAATGGAGAAGGATTTCCATGGTTCCGATTTTAATATTTTAAAATGTAAATTTCTTTTGAATCGAAGGAACAAGCTTCAACCAAAAGCATATTATATTTTTTTTTTCAAAAATACACTCTTTCAGATATATTTAATAATAAGAAATATATCGCATATATGAAAAACAACCCAGCGAAAAAACAATCGGCTACTGTCGTTAGCAATTAGTAGCTGCGCTAGTAAGTGATGAAATACAGGATTATATCTTGTTCAATGTTCTCCTGTTTTATGATCAGGAACGACAGTTTTACAAAATTACGGTTTTTCGAAAATTTAGTCAAAATAATAAAAAAAAAAGTCATAACATAAAAATTTAAAAATATTCAAAGAAAAAAAAAATCAATCAGAATGTACCACTTACCGAAATAGCCAGCGTTTTCCCCGGAGGCGAGCATGCTGTTGGCTTGGTAAGGATAGTTGACGTAATCGCCAGGCACATAGAGACCAGCTCTACTCTCCTGCTCTTCCGGTAAATCGCCATAATCGATGAAGGAAGCAGCACTAGATTTTCGTCTCGGAGAAGGCGTCGGCGGCTGGGTGCCGACACCTCCACTTAGTGAAGAGCTTGGCCCAGACGGGGTGTAGTTTGATCCCAGGCCACTGGTTGTCGACATCGTGGAAGGTAGGTAGTTTTGAGGTGAATCAGTGAATCTCAATGGTCGCTCGTCTTGGCGAGGACTGAGCGATGATAAAGGTGTCCTGACAAAAGGCATTCATCGAATCAATCTTTTTAATGTGTGCGGAATTAGCTTACCTGCTTTGCTTCACTGGTCCGTGGTAAGTATTGTGAGCATACATCATTTCGTTATGTTCTTCAGTGTACTCTACTTGGTCTACATTACTATCTACATTCTGGGGCATTGGTAATTGTGGCTGCTGTAGTTGACGTAGGTTGTGATAGGGACTAGGCTGAGGCTGATAAACGTCATTTAGCACCGATGATGGGTGTAACCGAGGATGTAAGGGCGTAACATTCGAAACTCGAACGTCATATCCGGAAGCGACACCCGCCAGCATTGAAGCAATATTGTACAACACTAACTCTATAATCGATAACTTTGGTTTACGTTGCCCTTCGGAAGTATAAAGCGTTGGCATTGGAATTGTGCTGGGAAGTCCATTGAATCTGGTCAGGCTAGTACAAAGCGGCGTACTCAACGACGTGCTGTCACCCACGACATTAAGATTAGACGGATACCACTCATCAGTGTCGTAATCTAAATCAAACACGTTGCCATACGTTACAAAAATTGACTTTACCATTTCTTCCAGTGTTTTTAAATGTTTCGGGTTAGGAGTAAAGGAAATGTTATCTAGAATAGTCACTAAATTACAAACTACAAAAGCGTGTCAGTAAAAGCTACAATCAATTATCAATTAAGATCGTCACAAAGCTCTACGTTCTACTCCAACAAAGAGGAAGGAGGTGAGATTTATTGCGCTCGAAATTAAGTTTGGCTAATTGGAAAGTTAACATGCTGCGATTGTGTTAATTAGATTCATTAGATAGGAAAAGAGACGACGAGAAAATGTTCACATCCTAGCAGTTACTGATGGCCAGTTTCGTCGAATATAATAAATGATGCTCATGAGAACAGTCTTCGCACTAATCCACCCCCATACTATACTGGACACAGGCAGACGACGACAGGTACTTCGATTTGATGAATTGCCATAATCACACGGTAGGACAATGGACCGTCTTTTCTGTCCCATGCCAGCTGTGCTTCCATTGTGAATGTCTTTGGCAAAATAGGATAATGATGAGTTTGGTGGCTCTTTCGGTGTTCATTGGCAATTAGTCTGCTAACTGTTTGAGATTTGTTGCGTCTATAGAACTGGGTTCAATAATTCAATAAGATTTTGATTTTCAACTGAACTAGCTAACTTTTCAGAGCCAACGATATGTTTCCCCATCCACAGATCTTGAAAGTTGAATTATTTCCAACAGTGTTGATTTGATGAAACGGATTTCATTGTTGTAATTTAACACTCCAAATATGCTTTGAAGAATAAATAAAGGGGAAGACGGGGTAGTAAGACCTCCACAATAAAACTGTTTGCTCAAAATGAACAAACAAAAAGTTTTTTTTTGCACGTTTTTATGTATGAATAAATGTTCATTTACTAATGGACAAAAACATATTCTGATTTATCAAATTATTTATGCTTTTTCATCAGTTTTTGAAACGACCAAAAAAGACTTGTTCTTTTACAAGCGGGGTAAGAAGAAGCACCAACGGGGTAAGACGAACCATGACGGGGTCTTTGGAAACAACTGCACCAAATTAGACACAACAAGTGCCAAATGAAATGCCACAAAGATCGGACTGAAAACAAATCAATTCAGTTTCAGTCAAAACCAATACGCAATAAGAACGATGACGCTTGTATCTCGTCAACAAAGCTGTCTTACCCTTGGTTTACTTTATATGGTATTTATTAACATATTTCGTACATTTTTACAAACCATGATTATAAGCACTCCTAGGAGAAGTACAGCCTTATAAAGGGAAACGATACTAAAAACGTCAGAAATCACCTATTTTTGAAACCAAACATCTTTTGATTTATTGCTTTTAACATAAGATCGTGAAAAGCCCCACCAAACGAACATTGGAGAACAAGTCTGAAAAAATTCATTTGTTTTGCTATTTGTTTAGTAATGATCCTATAGAAAGGTCAAAAAAGCAAACAATTCCAAATAGATTTAAAACGGCTAAAATAACCTAATAAACGCAACAACAGTAAACAAGGTCATCTTCCATTAAATTCCACTTAATGAATTTTGGTATCCATGACGTATTTCGACTACCAGGTGCAGTCTTCATCAGTGTCATTCCCAATAAAGCCTTATCAAAATCTAACCCCCTTAAGTACTCATGTTTTAGGTAAACATGTCAAGATCACAGGTATAAACATGTGCAGAATCAGATTCACATGGTGTATATATCTGTAAATTTCAAACATTACTTGTGCATTCACTTAAACCTTTCTTTTTTTTAAACATGCGAAATTGCAAAATGTAATGCGAAAAAGGATGCCACATGACATAACCTTAAATTAATAAGAAACGCCAAAAAAATGCCTTAAAAACGCCAAATGAGGCGGACATTCAGAGAAATATGCATACTTGTATAATGCAAAATCAAATTCTATTCTGTGTTATTATTTCATGCCTGATTTTTCCCTGCATGAAATTAATAAACCATCGCAGTAGCTAAATTACTTGTCAATCGATTAGTTATAATTGAAGGGTGGTCAATAATTGTGTAAGGGCACGATATTTACGTTAAAACAATATTTTGCTTGTACTCAGCTCAGTACTGGCAGCTTAAATTTAAGACTCCTAATACAAAATCAGCGAACAGGTAACTGTTGGGTTTGAACATTTTCTGCTCATTTTTACATAGGGAGCATATGATTCTTAAGAAGCATCTTGATTTGTGAAGAAAAAAAAATGAATAAAAGTTAAAAAATCACGTTACAGATTTTTTTTAGATCAAGGACATAGCGATAAGGCGCTAGCTATTAGACAAACCTTTTTTTTTTAGTTGAAGATTTGATGATTTTCAGAATGCAGATGTGCCACTTACAGACCAAATCCAAAACCACTGCCAAAAACAGATAGTTAAAGTGAGTAGATTTTCTAAATACCAGGCACCTCCACTCTCCCACATTGCCTCTCTTGCAGAATGCTGGAGTGCAATGAATCAGGTGCAAAGCAAAATACTTATCTGAAAACTGACATTCATCTGCCCGACAATTACACAAGCTGATTAATATCGAGCCCCGATGAAGATAACAACTCCTGGATCCAAATGTTCGCGATGATTAAACTGAAATTCGCATTTTCTTGGAGACTTTCAGTCTAAACAAATTTATCCACTTAGTTACTTTAGTAGACTACCCCAGTAGTTAATAGTTTTGTTATCCGCCGAATCAACCTGTGTAATACTAAATACTAAATGTGCTGACGGTGAGATCATGTATTTATGGACTGCCTGGATTAGGTTTATTATTTCGTTCAGTTATGGCCATCAGTAAATGCTTTGGTCATGCTCGATGTATGTGTGGATAAGCAAACTTTACTTACAAATAAATAAAACACCTACTGAAAACGAACGCAACGAAGCATCATCCACCAAATACCTAAACGCAACAAAAGGAACGCTACAACTGATCAAACCGAGAACAAAGGCTTCGAGGATCAATGAAATAAATAAAAAATACGAGTCGCTTTTGATAGGTTTCTCTTTTATTGCAATTGAAAAATAATTTTATTGGTATATTGTTTGCATATGGCTTCTATCATTGTGGCCGAAAAATGCTAATAAGTAATACATTAAAACTGAAATAAACACAAGCTTACAATTAAATTGTAATGAAACATAATTGTTTTTGATAAAACCTAAAATAATCTAAAACTGAATGACATTCACGAAACTACTACTCAGAACTGTAAAAAATAAATAGAAATTAACAATCTAATCCATCGATATTGTGCAACATTCTCTGTTTCACAATTTTTGATTCCTATTTGAAGAAGTAAAATGACAAATTTTGAAGTAGTGGGTACATGTGCTGAGCCTTAACATCAATGAAGAGAATTCTTGAATGAACATCAGATCTGCCGAGTTATGCTAGACGAATTTTGATTTATTTTCATTAAATTTAGCATGGAGTACGGGTTTGAACTTCACTTTGTATTGCATTCCTTCTTCCAACACCGAATTAATTCGATTTCTCGGCATAAATCGTTCTGCAGGATTTGCCGGTACGTTTGAGAGATTAACAATCGCAGGTTACACCTCCCTCGTTAATTTATTGTTATTTACAGGATTTCTTAGCAAATGGAGCTGTAAATTTATCTCTAGCCGTAATGAATATCAACTGGTATGAGGTGTTTTGAACTGGAACCATGTAGCAGTTATACAATTCTATTAGGAGGTAAGTGGGAAATAACCATTTACGACTATTGAAAAGCTGGATCTAATGGGAAGATATGCTATTAACATCTCTATTATCGAAATTCAGGTAGATTTATGACTCCGGATACCAGGAATTAAGATAACAAACAATCGCAGTACCAGCCAGGACCAGGACATGATTCAGATAAAATAAAAGTGAAGTACAGTATAATCATCCTGGAGCAATCCTTGGACTACTCTCATTGATGGTGTGTCATTTCCTTTTATGACCTGTATCCCTGGAAAAATGGTGAAATAAGGATGAGAACATTTCAAGCTGAACAATGCATTAGGTCCTAAATAACATTGATCGATTCTCTTAATCGTCTATCTGTGTGCTGAAAATAGCTGGGAATGTCTTAACATGGCCGTGAAGATGCAAAGAGAAAGTCGACGAAAAGAATCTGTCAATGTTACTTAGAACCTAATGAATTGTTCAGTTTGATTTTAAGAACATGGAATTTCGAAGAAAGAGTTCCCGGGAAAATTGTTTTCCCTGAAACGGTGTACATACTACCATAGATACCTAATGAACAAGATATCCCAATAAGGCGATGTTATTTTCCTGTAGGATTTTCCACAGGGATTACTGATGTAGTGAAGAACAACAAAAATAACTCGAGAATTAATTTATAAATAGACATACCGTAGAACGGGGTAACATTGATAGTTTTTTAAAATGAATGTTTTTCAAATTTTATTTTATTTTAAACAAGTACTGAGGATCCTAGAGTCAATTCGTTAGTAATATGTTTAACGGAAATTAAAGCATTTACATATTTTTTTTTAGTTTTGTGACCGAACATCTGTGATTTGATTTGGGGTTACTTTGATAATGCTCGATGAGTGTAGAAAAAAAATGCGTGAAACTCAAACAATTTAGTTCAAGAAATATTAATCTTTGAATGAGTATATATTCAGTAAACATTATAAGCAATAAGAATACAATATTAAATTTATGATGGCTGTATCGTAAATACATTTCATAAGTTATGGTATGAGTGCTTTTTCAAACAGGCGAAAAACAAGAAAATTGTTTTTCAATATATTAGTAAAATATGTAACACATTCTACATAAAAACTAGATACGATATCAACGGAAATACCCGAAGCTACAATATGGAGCCAATGTTTCTAATTCGGAAAAAGTGCAGAGAGTAAATTTAATCATTATATTCTACTTTAAAAGTTACCCGCATTATCAAAGATACCCCGTTTTACGGTATCTGCTTTTCAAACTTCCGGGA